TTCAAAAGCCCAAGTACATCTTCCACGGCTTCATGGAGAGACTCTGGGCGTACCTGACCATCCACCAACTCCTGGAGCGAATGTGGGTGGCCTGCACCCCCAAGGGCCTGCTGGGGCAGCCACACACGGTCTCAGTGTCTCCCCAAGCTCCTCATGGGTGGGACAGCACAGGTGGCCTGGGCATCTTCTAGGTATGGAGAGAGGGGGGTCATGGAGTGGTGTCTGAGCTCCAGACTCTGCCAGTAGGGACCCGCCCCGACCCCCAAGGGTCTGGAAGGGAGGGAGAATGGAGCTAGGCATCCAGGACCTGCTGGCCCTCTGATGCTCTCTACCTGCAGGGTTTCCGCATCCGAAGCCGATAAGCAGGCCCTGGAGACGCAAGCTCTGGGCTTGTCGCTCAACTATAGCTTTGTCACCCCCCTCACGTCCATGGTGGTCACCAAACCTGAAGGCCAAGAACAGTCTCAAGTTGCTGAGAAGCCCGTGGAAAATGGTGGGTGTGACAGTGGGCTCCTAGCTCTGTGGCAACAGAGTTTTGACCCAGTCTCTCCCCCCCCAGCCCTTTCCCCACATCCTGACCAAGACCCTAACCTGGCCACACAGACTCCCAGGACCCCCAAGAGATGCATCCCATTTCATTGATGAGGAAACTGAGGCCAGGTCTCCCAACCCCCCCATATGCACTGCAGCTCTGTGGTGCTGGGGTGGGGAAGCAGGTTAAATATGGACTTCAAAGGTATCAACACTACCCAATAGTATCTCTCTCTGTCTGTCTCTCTCTCTCTCTCCCTCTCTCACTTTCTTTCTCTCTGTTCTGTTTTTGTTTTATCCAGGAAAGGTTCCCTCAGGTAAGGGCCTAATACCGTAAAAGGCTGCCGTTGGTGGCTGATTGAGGACCTCCAACCCCAGTCCCACAAAGTTGCTGTCCAGGGCCTCTCCAGCCCAGCCTGCTGCCAGGAGGGGGCATTGTCTGCCCAAGCACGTTGGTGCATTTAGTCACCTGTTCGTTCAGATATTGGCTGTCCTGGCGCTAGGGGCACAGTCCCCATCCAGCTGGATGCACACCCAGGTCTCTCTGATTTCCAGGTCACGATGTCTTCAGACATAGAGCCAAGGGACACCCATTGACCCAAGGAGCAGGTAACAAAGGAGGAGAGGTGGTGGGAGGGGAATTGACAGAACCTTGACCTTGGCCACAGGCTGGGCTCTGCCCTGACTGTGGGTGAGTCGCTTGCTTGGCTCACCTGGCTGGTGGCAGGGCTGGGACTCAAGTTCAGGTGTGTCTATGCTGGATCTTTTGTTAGTGGCAGAAGAAACTTCAGAGGACAGGTAGTTGGAAGTGACTGATATCCCAGCGTGGTGGGAGGAGTTCAAGAAGGGTTCCTTTTACGGCTTTGAATTTCTCCTGGCTGAAGGGGGAGAGGCTCTCAGAGTGGAGGGTGTGGGGAAGGGAGCCATCTTCCCTCTGTACATGCCTCTCCTGGGGTGGGTCCCAGAGCCCTGGCGGTGGGGACCCATGACTCTGCTTGAGCCAAGACTGCAGGTGTCAACTTTTCTAAAGCTGGATTTGCCTCATACGCTGGAGTTCATGACATGCCCTTCAGGAAATCTGGACCACCTGGACTTTCTGCTCCTTCTCATTATCGTTATCCATCCTATATTTTGGGTCTGGATCGCCACGGGCTACCGGGCGGGATAGGTGAGCCACTTTCTGACCTCGGAAGCCTCGTTTACCCAAGGGGATGGTAAGCCTGCCTGTAGAGCTGGATGTGAGCAAGCACCCTGCACAGGGCTGGGCACCGACCAGGCAGACTTGCTGTGGGCTTGACATGAAGCAGTGTGTCATTTAGTTTCACTGAACCAGACTCATTACACTCTGCAGGCTGGCTCAGGATGGAACCTTCTAGAAAGGGAAGGCTCCCAACATTCCCAAAGCCATGAGTGGCCCCATGAGCTGTGTCTGATCTCCAGTCTGGATTCAGACCCAGCCCAACACCAGGCTGGACCCTGTCTCCTCAGTTTTTCCTAAAAGTGTGCTCTCCTATTTGGGTGAATGTGGGGCAGCGGTCGCAGGGCTGGAGCTTGGCGGGTGCAGGTGGCAGTGGTGGCTGGAGGGCGTGATGATTGCGCTGAATCCTGACTGCCTTCTCCCTTTCCGTTTCTGGCCAATCCTGTACTAACATCTTCCTCCTCCTCCGGTCCCACTGCAGTGGGTGATCACCTGGATGAAACAATGGAAGGTACGCCCCCAGACCAGATTCCCTGAAGTGGACGACCGCCCTTTAGCAGGAAGACACTGGGATGGGAGAGCCCTGGGGATCTCTAGGAACCTGTTACATGTTTCTCAATGTTGAAGTGGAGAAGGAACCCTGGCCACATTTATACACTATCCCATCCTTCAGTTTCCCCCTACCCCCAACTGCGAGGAAGGGGATGCCTAAACAAAGACTTTTTCTTTCAGAAACAAGCCCAACAGCCCCACCACCAGGTAAGGTGCCTGCCCCCCGGAGCCCCCCTTCCCTTCACTACCCTCCAGATGTTCTACCTGCCCCAAGAACCGCATCTGCTGCCCCAGCCCCCATCCAGGCTCCGACCTTCATCCTGCCTCTGCCTGGGCAGAGCATGGACCAGCTCTGTGTGGACATCAAGAGCACCCCGGGGCCATTATTACTCCTGCTCTCAGACCCTGACCAAGGTGAGGCCCTGAGCAGTCACCTTCCAGAGAAACCCGCTGCAGTCAGTGCCCAAAGCAAGCTAGAGGCAGAAGCCCAGAAGAGGAGGCCAGGGCTGTTTGAGGGGCATATGAGGCTGCATGGGGCCACACAGGAGTGACTGGGCCTTGGCAGACAAGTGGGGGTTTAGTAGTGAGTGGCAGAGGTTGGCAGAAGCCCAGAGCCCTGAAAGATAGTAGTGGGACCATAGAGAGTCTGGAGGAGATGAAAGGCAAGAGGAGGGAGGTGCACTGACCAGACCTGCTCCCCACCCCCCAGAAGGGTCGTACTAGTTGAGCTGAGGTGTCAAGTCAGACGTGGGGACATACAGCACTCAGGGATGCTCACACACCGTCTCCCACCTCCACACACCAGGCCTAGAGTCTGTTTGCTCCCTGAGGGCGGGGACCGCTGATTTGCCATCTCCCTCTTGGCCATGGCACCTAGCTCAGGGCCCCGCACACTAATGCGCTTTATCAATGTTCATGGACTTCAGACACGATCACCCTTCACAGAGTGCTCACCTGAAAGTGTCCATCACTGAGGATTTGTGGTGCTTCCAAAGTCAAATGCAACCAAGGGAGGAGAGAAAAGATTGTGGAAAGCAGACTCCAGTGTGAGGGAATGCTGGGAAAGGGCAGTGAGGAGGGGGTTGGTGAAGGACAGTTCTCAGGGACATAATCACAGAGGGCCATGCCTCTGACCTCTGCTCCCGGCTCTCTCAGGTCTCGAGGTGACTGGTGAGTATAAGATGGAGAAGGCCCAGTTCTCATGGATCGAGGTGACTTTCAAGAATCCCCAGCTGCAGGTCCACGTGTCCCCTGAGCACGTGGTAGTGACTAGGGAGCGAAGAAGCTCTCAGTACAAATGGAAGGAGACGCTGTTCGTGGTGTTGCCTGGGTAAGCCTCAGGCGGCGTACCAGCAATGACCTCTCAGGCTACCTTAGCCACTGCCAGTGCTGACCGGTAGCCTGAGGCCACAGGCTTGGGGATGAAGTGCTTGGGCTGGGCATGCGTCCTCTGCAGTGGGCCGCCCCCACCGGTTGGGCAGAGCCATACCTCTTTTTCTCTGGGGGCACCAGCGGTTGTCCCGGAGACCTGGCTGCTCACGCACGGTCATGCCCCTGAGCACTGACCCTTATACTCATACATCCACCCACAGACCTTTCATTGGCCACCACATATGCAGGTCTGGGTGGCCTGGCACTTCTGGGGACCAGATGTGGGCCCCCCGGCATGGCAATACCTAACCAAGGTCACTGTCCCGTGCAGCGGACAGTGTGGATTGGAGCCACACTGCTGCTAATCCTGTGTGACCCTGGGCAGGCTGCTGAGACCCTCTTAGCCTCAGTTTCCTCACTCATGCCCTGGGAGAATCTCTCCAAGCCTGAGTTAGAGGCTAAGGGGAGACCCAGTGAGGGAAGGTGGCAGGGGAGCACTTTGCTCATTAGAAGGGATGGTGCCCACAGGGCATGCCGGAGGGCAGCTGTCTCCGTGGTGAGGGAATGATGACAGCAGTGAGAAGTTGGAAGGCACTGTCCGCCAGGGGAGGTTATGAAAGTCTCTCTTAGCTCACTCCTGAAGCTCTGATGAGGAGAGACTGTCCATCAAATACTTGGCAGCTGGCAGGTAAGAGAGGTGGATGGCGACCTCTTCTGGGTGGGGCTGCCTCACCATCGAGCCTTCCAGAGGCAGCTCTGCGGGTCCACAAGTCATGAGGGGCCTGGAGCAGGGCCGAGGCTTGGGCCTTCTGGGAGCACTGCCCTCCTAGTCCCAGCCGGTGCTGAGTACAAAGAGCCTCGTCCATGCCCCTAACTGAGCCCCTCAGTAGAGACTGGTTTCCACCTGACAAATGAGTGAGCACCTAGCTAACCTGAGGGGCTCACCTGAAAATCGCCCATTTCATACCGGATCTTAAAGCTTCCTGTTACTTGATAAGTACTTGCGCACCAGAAGATGAATAAAGAGCTCCTCTTAATCATGGCGACAGGGGCCACACGCTTTCACGAGCTACAGAAGATCTCCGTGAAGAAAATCAGACCACACGTCCTGTAGTGGGTCCCTTGGAGCCTGTGTAAACTTAGTGCAGGTCCATTAAGGTAACTCAGAGTACCAGCAGGGTCTTGTTCAACGTGCTCTAAGGAGCCAAACATTCCCAAGACAACCAAAAAGGTAAGAAATCAGAGATTATTTTAAGTAAAAAAGATGGACATAGAATCAGAAGAGCCTTGCCCTTCTAGATGTTAAACATACAATTAAACACTGATCGTGAAGAGAATCTGGCACCGGCTGAGTGTGTCCGATACCCCGGAATCATATCAAACGAATTTAAAGGGAACGAAATCTAAGAAAACAGAGGGGAAGGAGCCGCTATTTTGTTTTATAAATGCTGGGATCACCAGATATCATTAACGTCACGTTGTCCCAGTTGCTAAGGAGAATGTGTAATGGACTTCCCACTCAAGGCCACAGCTGGATTCCCCCACCCATCCCACCCCAACCGCCAGGGTCCCCTGAGGGTGTGTCCATGCCTACCTTGCTCTCAGGAGCCTAGTTTCCCCACAGCCTCAAGATGACCATGGACAAGGCGGGGCTCCTGCTGCTCAGCAGCCCAGACAGAGTGACCATCGGCCTGCTGTCCTGGGACGGCCCTGGGCAGGGGCTTCGGCTGCTCCTGCGGGACACTGACCGCTTCTCCAGCCACGTCGGCGGCCTCCTTGGTATGAGCCCATGACCCTGGCTCAGGGCATCCTCAGATCCAGCTCTGCCTGGGAACAGGCAGTGCCTGTGTCTCCCAGTCCCCGTGTCTTTATCCCTCCCTGACCCTTCCTTTGTCTCTCAGGCCGCTTTTACCAGGGCGTTGCCTGGGGGCCCCCAGATGCCACAGATGACAGCAAGCGAACACTGTGGACTCGTGGGTTTGAGTTCAATGCCACCAGGTGACTCCACGCAAACAGGCCAGGGGTGGGGACTAGGAGGCTGAGCTCTTCCCTGGGTGCCTCCACTCCCCTGTCTGTGCCTGGGAACTAGAGATAGTCGGGTGAAAGGTTGATGCTTTAGACATATCTGACCCAGCTGTCAGTGTGACCCCCCCAAAAATGGTCAACTCAGACCCACAGAAAACACCCCAACCAGAGATCACAAAAGGTGAATTGGGGACATTTGTAAACTCCTTGAAGTCTCAGAGCTCTAGACCCTGGACAACTGGGTGCCCTTGGGAGACTGGGGCTTGTCAGCCTGTGCCAGAGGGGATTCTAAGGGGCCATGAATCTCCACCTTCCACTTGCCCGACCCAAGCTCTCTCCCTCTATTCCCACCACACCTGAGATTTCCTAACCACCTGTCTGTCTGTCTGTCTCTCTGTCTCTCCATCCCAGAAAACTCAAGTTGGATTACCAAGTCGGGATCCCGGGAACAGAGATTTCCTGCTGGTCTATGGAGCTCTGATTCTGATGGCAGGAGTTATACCCACCCCCCCACCGCATGCCACCCCACTGTGTGCAGAGGGCTGTCATCCTGTGACCACAGCCACCTGTGGGGTTTTGTCCCATGGAGGTGACCCAGCCCCCAGCTCTAAATCCTCTCCGATCCATGCCCCAGGGATAGTCAACCCCAGATTCTACCCAATTCCTGCAGTCAGAGCGCACTTAAAAAACAATTATAGCCCAGGTGGCTCAGTTGGTTGGTGCATCACCTTGTACACCCCAAGGTTGCAGGTTCGATCCAGGTCAGAGCACATACCTGGGTTGTGGCTTTGATCCCCAGTTGGAGCGCATGCAGGCGGCAATCCATTGATGTTTCTCTCTCACATCCATGTTTCTCTTTCTCTCTCCTTTCCTCCCTGTGTAAAAATAAATAAATACCTAAACAAATGAATAAATAAATCAGTCAAGCATGTCCTTCGGTGAGGATTTAAAAAATATATATTTTAAACAAAACCCATGGGAATAAGGGAAGAGCCAAGCAGGAGGAGCGTTCAGTCTGGGACACCCTCGTGGGGAAGCTGCCGCTCAGAACTTTGCTCTGAGCTTCCCCGCAGCCAGAGGAAAGCAGAAATGAGCTCATTTGCTGGTTAAGAGGAAGCAAACCAGATCAGCAGGGAAAAGCTCCTTTCCCAGCTCTTGAGCTCCACAGGGTGTTTACTGAGTGAGTCTTTCTGGAGGGGTCAGAGGAGAGGCCCGTAGTGGGGCTCCAGCAGCAGGTTTGCCAAACGCACAGGCACACTCCATCTGCCTCTCCATCCGCCTGGTTGGCTGGCAGGGTCTCAGGCTGTTGCTGTGAGACAGGGGAGCCGCCTTGGGGACTCCCTCGACCTTTCTGTGAGGCCATCTCTGACACACCTACCAAGATGAGAGACGGGGCCCACGCCCAGCTCACCCCTCTGGGACACCACCGCCTGCGCTGGGCTGTGGGGTTTGTATAACAGCAGAGGAGTCCTGGGTGACTTTCTGGCCCAGCAGCAGGGCAGGTGCCTTCTGTGAACAATTGGAAGTTCATTGTTTTGTTCACTGAGTGCTTTCCAGCACCTCCTTGGGCCAGGCCCTGGGCAGAGTGCTGTGGCCACCATGACAGACAGTGCCTATGTGGCAGCTGCCACCCAGGAACCACCAGGTGCTGCAAGGATCCCAGAGGGAGTCACCTTGTTCTACCTGGGGAATATCGGGGACCTTCCTGGAAAGTGGTGTGGCTGGGGCTGAGTTTTGACAAATAAGGAGAAGTCAGCCCAGTAGAAAAGGAGGACAAGGACACTGGGGTGAGAGCCAGGACATTGTGCATTGAGTTCAGGGTCATTGTGCAGTGAGTTGAGGGTAGGGGAAGGGAAGCATGGGGTGAGGAGCCAGTTGGAGAGGTGGAGAAGCAGGGCCAGGCCAGCACTGGCTCGTGCACCTTGCCATGGAGCACAATTTCTATCCTGAAAGCCAGGGAGCCATCAGAGGACTGGGTTGAGGACAGAATCTGCCTGGAATTGGCCTGCAAGGAGGGCCTCCCTGACTGTGTTGAGGGAGGGGGAGGGGCAGATTTGGGCTGGGGCCTCCTCTGACTTGCTGCTAACCTGCCAGGCTAGGCGGCTAGCTGAGTGGCAGGACAAAGCAGGTACTTTAGGAGCAACAGAAACCATATTTTGATGCCTCTTCACACCCTCCATCTGGCAGGATCTTTCTCCCCATTTCACAGCTGTGAGAACTGACCTCAGGATGACTGGTTTAAAGCCACATAGCTCCTCAGCCGACCTGGGACTGAATGGGAGGCAGGGCTGGCCTACTTATGGATGTCCTTGCCCAGGCTGGGTCCTTTTTGCCAGCCCAGCCTGAACACCTGCCCTCTTTACTCTAGAGCTGTCTCTCACGTGGCCCTCTCCCTAGAGGAGCAGCAGCGCCAGGCCACAAGTTACCTCTCCTAGACACTTGGGGCCAGGGGGACTCCTCTGATGATAAATGTTTCCTCCTGGACTGCTCTCCATACCCTCTCCAGGACCCCAGTCTGGTGTCCCCAGGAAATCCAGAGTATCCCCTGAAGTGGGAGGTAAGAAAACTTCCTTGTGGCCCATACCAGATCCCATCCCCACCCACATTGGCATTCCTGATCTCCTTCCCAATCAGACTCCAGCCTCCTCTGGCCTTATTGTGTCCCTTGCTGTGCCATGGAGCAAAGCTGCCCACTGTTCCCTGCACAGGGGTAGCCTCTATCCAGCATGCTCTTAGCCCTGCAGGCAGAGAGAGCTGCAGAGGCACAGAATCTGGGGCAGGAGGGGTTATGTTTGCAGAACTGGAAGCAGTCTGTGTGTCTGGAACCCAGAAAGTAAGGGACAATGCCTGGTTCATGGAGGTGATGAAGCTGAGAAGCCACAGGAAGGACTTTTATCTTTGTCCCAAGAGCAATGGGAGGGAGATGTCATTGTCAGGGTGTAGGCAGGGAGCAATGATTGGTTCTGCTGTGGAAAGCTCTCTCTGGAAGCAGGGAGATCCAGGAAGGGGCAGTTAGAGTTATTCATGTGGGAGAGGCTCTCAGGACTTTGTGAGGTATGATTGGAGGATCCCAAGCATCCCCAGCCCAACTGAAGGTAAATTTGCGGCACCCAAGCTCACAGGACCTGGTTCACAAAGCTGTGTGCCCCAAGATTCTAGCCCAGAATGTTGGGTTTATCTGATGAACAAATGGGTGGTTGGTGGATGGATGGATGGATGGACAGAGGGTGGGTGGGTGGGTTGATGTATGGCATCTACAATCCACTGCAGGCTGTGCCAGCCCTGGAGGACACTCTGCTTCTGAGTCACAGAAGGACCTCCAGGCCCGAAGGGGCCGACAGGAACTCCTGAACAGGGACCAGACTTCCCTCATGACCCTTTTGACCTCTGAAATGCACTCAGCCCTTCCCAGCTTCTCAGAGACTCTTTGCTCCAGAGTCAATTTTTTATTTTATTTTTTTCATCATGCACTTGACTTGCCAAACTGTGATGCCAACCAGCCCTGTCCTTCAGCCGCATTGCTGGGGAGGCCCAGGATGTTGCCTTCCCAGGAGCCAGTCCTTCCTTTGAGCTGCCTCAGGTCCCAGCTGGTGTTCCCCAGAGCAAGGCCTGAGAGAGGCATGCACAGGCTGGCAGCGGTCTGGTTTCCACCGTGTCCTCTATTGTCACAGCCCTCCCTCAGGCCTGGCTCTGTGCCCCTGCTCCAGATGCCAGGCGAGCTGGGCCAGCCACTCAGAACAGGTCAGAGACGATGTAGTCGCTGTGGACCCCATCAATCACCCCTTGGCCGTTGTTGTGGACGAACCAGCAGCCCACCTGTGTGCCATTATGGACGTCCTTCCTGTAGTCTTTCTGGTAGCCCCTGGAGAAGGAAGAGAGATGGCTGGTACGCTCATGGACCAAGGTTGAAAAAGGGTGTGACCTTGCCAATTCCATAATTCTCTGGCCAAGAATGAGGTTGCATGGTTACTCCTTCTAGGGGACTGAGTTTGGCCTTTCCCTGATTCAGAGGGGCTTCGAGGAGGCCAAGACCCCAGAGGGAAATGAGGGAACCCCACGGAAGACAAAGCCTGCTGGACCAATGTGTGTGGGCACAGAGGGCTCTTTCCTCCTGGCTTGTTAGGGGGCAGGGTGAGGATGTCAGGTGGGTCCCCGCACCTGGTGACTGCCAGCCGATGTTTCTTCACCAGCATTGTGGCATGTATCTTGGAGGGGTCATTGCCTGGGTTGAGGTCAGACACTTGAAAAGCAAGGGGGCGGAAGAATTGTCCTGGGAAGAAAAACATTTACTCTGTCAGCCCCTGCCATCGCCCCACGTAGCATGGCCACTGGCCTTCCAGGGTTAAGGCAAAGGCTGAGGGGGTGCTGTGTGCCGGGCTAGGATGGCCTTTCACATGGCTTTTCCCTCTGCCCTGAACAGCCTGAAGCTTGAACATTCCATACCCAGCAGCCCGTGTGACTTTGTTGACATCTTGTCACTGTCCAGCACGTAGAAGCCCAGAAAGTGAAGGTGGATGTGATGTTTCTTCCACACCTGGTGCAGAATCACCTTAAAGGTAATCCCTTTTCCAAAGGAGACCACCGTAGCCTCCCTGTTGATCTTCACAGAGAACCTAGGGGAGAAGAGGAGGGTAGCCAGGGGCACAGTGGCCGTGACACCAGGCATCTGAATCAAGGACATCTTGGCAGAGCCCTCCCTGTGCATGGCACCTGAGAACACACAACTCCAGAAACTATCTCAGGGGTGTGGAGGAAAGACATGTCATGCGTGCCGACTATACCTCCCCTGAATACATTCTTGCTCCTCCTTAAGCAGGAAAGGGGCTGTCCTCGGCATCCGGAGGCCTGGGATCTAGTCCCAGCTCAGCCACTAGATTCCTGGGCAGGTTCTACCCCATTTCTGAGCCTCAGTGGGAGTAATACTCCAGCTCTGCCTACCAGGATCTGAGTAATCTAAAGACATAGGAGAGGCTGACCAGCTTGGGAACTAATGAATTCAGCCAGTGGAGATGCAAATAGGATTCTTGCTGTTACCAGATTGCCATGCCTACCTGATCCTTGGGTCCATATAGCCCTTCCCTCAAGGTCAGCCCTATGAACTGTCCAGCTACCAATTCTGGTTCTCACAGGGGCCCTAGGGGTTGGCTCAGGTCTACCATGGTCACCCTCCCCCGGGGCAGGGGCTGAACTCTGAGGCCACCAGTCTTCCCTGTAACCCCGTATGGATCTTCTGTCCTCAGATTTCTACAAATCCTTCAAGCCTCCTTCTATGGAGTCCCGGTATGGCACCTTACCTTTCCGAGGTGACCGTGACTGTGTCCAGCCAGCTGAAAGTACTCTGTGCAGCCCCATTGTGCAGGGTAATCTTCTCTGTGGTCACCTCAATCCGCAAGTCCATCGGAGAATTGACAATGCCCACTTTGCCAAGGTAAGTCTTTCTGTTCTTAGAGTTAGAGCTGTTTCCCTGGTCACCAATGATCTGCCCATTTACTGTTAAGCCTGCCAGGGGCAAGGGGCAGTAAGAGACCAGCGAGATCTTCTGATCAGCTAGCCGTTAAGGATGTGCCTTTCTCCTCAGCCAGACTTGCTGTGAGGTATCAGAGTGAGGGTCCCCAGAAGAGACCAGAACTTCCCAGTTAACCCCATCTGCTCCTAGACACTCTGGGTCATGCTGGTGTCTGAGGACCTCAGTGTAGACCTGTCTCTTTGCCTGGGCCAGGAAGTATTATTGTTCAGAGAAAAATGATTCCCCAGCTATAGGCTGAGTCCTGCCTGCAGGGCCAGGCTGCCCTTAACTCTAACCATCTCCCCAACACACTGGCCCCTGGGGAACTTGGCTAGCCTGTGGTTCTGGGCAGCCCTCTCCAGCGTGTAAAGATGGGAGCATTATGAGCAGAGTGAGGACCTGGTCCATGAGCCCACCCTGGGGGTCTCCAGGCCTTCCCAGGAAGACCCTTGGCCCCAGCCCCACCCTGCAGCCCCCACCTGTAATGGGGTCCTGAATGAGGCGCAGCACTGTGCCTGGCTCTTCATCAATGTTGAAGCAGATGGCATCCTTTTTCCCTCGGACTTGGATGATGAAGTGGGGGTCTCCGTCCACTGAGGGCACACCAGAGAAAAGGCTGATCCTGGGGCCTCACCCTCTGGCCTCTGTGGGATGGACTCCTAGGCAGGCAGGAGGCACTGGGCCCTGTGCCCTGAGGCTTGCCCCCGGAGGAGCCAGGGAACTCACCATAATAGTAGGGTGAAGAAGGAGGCTGGTAGCTGGCTGTGGACACAAAGGGAGAGAGGGCTGAACTAAACAAGCAGGCCTGGGGAGGCACCAGACACCACCCAGAGTTTGGTTCATACCCCTCCCCTTCCTGCTTCCTAATGCTCTCAACACCCACCCACCCCCATCTCCTCAGGACCCAACCATCTGCCTGCCCCAGGGAGCAGATTTAGGAAGACTCAGGGGGATGTCAGGGCTATGCTGGGGCAGGGGACTGTGGTCGCGGTGTTTACTCACTCTGGTAAGCTATGGCGGCAGTCACTGAAAAAAGAAGGCAAAGGGCAGTCGTGAGCTGGGGGCCTTGGGTGCCCTGTTCCCAACACCTGTGCCTTTTACCTGTCTGGGGGCTACTAGTGCACAGTGAAACCCAGCACTGACAGACAGAGGGTGGGGATGTGAGCCTTAGCTTAGGTATAGAAATGGGGGCATGCCCGGGAACTTCTTTCTAGGACTGGCGGTGATATGGTGCAATTTTAAGGCCAAGGGTATGGCACTCTGATATGGCTAAAATGCAAGCCATCAGATGGTCAGCTTGTCTGTCATGAGTAATGCTCACAGCAGATCCTGCCCGCCACTCTTGAAATCCTGCCCCATCCCTTGTTGGGGTGTGATGAGGCTTACAGCTGTCTTTGGTAGTAACACACACACACACACACACACACACACACACACACACACACACACACACAAACACCCCATATGCACGTACACACGGGTGATGTTCAGGGTTGTTCTAAGGGGAAAGCTGGATAGAACAACCTGTATTGATGGAGGTGAGGCAGTCAGGGGCTGGGGTAGCTCTGCCTGGTGGAGATGGGCTTGTGAGGGGTGAGGCTCCAATTTTATGATGAGAGAGACACAGGATGCTGTGGATTTTAGCTCAGGCACTGCAACAAGTCTGCCTGGGCCAAATCCCTGGCTCAGCCACCTGAGGACGGAGTCCTTGCGCACACAGACCTAACCTCTGTGCCTCAGTTTCCTCACAGTAAAATGAGAACCTTAATCAGAGGGTAGCCCTGGACTCATCGACTGTGATGCCTGATGTGGAACATGCTCCTTTTGCAGGCCACATAATACTCTCCTACTGACTGTCCCTCCTTGGGCAGAGGAAGCCACCTCCACTCAATGGACAAGAGCCCTGGAGCTCAGAGAGGGGAGAGCCTGGCCCAAAGTTGCTCATGCGTGGGCAGCAGAGCAGGGACCTGAGCCCAGGCGAGCTTGGAAAGGCCTCCTGGGGTCTCTCTTGTCTCCCTCCCCAGACCCCACCCAGCTGCTGGCTGCAGCTCACCTGATTCCTCTGGCCCTGTGAGGGAAGAAGGGGAGAAATGTGTTAGAAGCCACAGACTTCTGGGTTCTGGGCCAATGTGATCAATATGCTGCCTGTCCAGCCAGCCCCAAGCTGTGGGCCTCCCAGCAGCCAGCTGTGCTCCCAGAACAGGAAGCTCCTGGCCTGGACCTGCTCTTTGCCTCCCATCACCCTGATGCGCCCCCCCCTCCCCCCGCCAGCCTATGTGGCCAGTTGTGGGATACTCAGGACTCCTCTCTTGGGGTATGGGAGCAGGCCTGGTCCCAGCCTCCACTCTCAGAGCCTCTTCCTCTGGCCATCCCCAGGCGAGTGCTCAGGGATTAGCTTTAAGGCTGGGTGTGCTTCTTCCTGTCTAACTGAGCCCTTCCACGTTGCAGCCTAAGTCCCTCTCCCGGAAGAGACCCTGGGCAGGGTCCTCACTCCTGTACTCATATCCCTTTAGAGTCTCAGAGGCTCCTGATCACCCCACCCCCCACTGTCCATGCTGCTGGCTTCACTCCCTCCACACATGCTCCCCAGCGCTGGGCCAGCTTTCCTTCAGTGCCCCTGGGCCTGCTCCTCTTCAGTGAGGCTGGGTCTCCCCAGCCTGGCCCACTCCTCTCAGGACCCCCGAGGCCCCAGTTGAAGAGATAGGCCTCTCAGTTCTGGCCTTCACTCCCCGTGTCCACCTTCGCCAGGCTTGTCAGCAATAGCCATCTGGTTGTCACTGTCCTCAGGCTTGGTCACCACCATGGAGGTCAGTGGAGTCACAAAGTGGTACTTGAGGGACAGGTCCAGGGCCTGGGCAGTGAGGTTCTCCTTCTCACTTCCATGGGCATTCTTGCTGTAGGGAGGGGCGTGGCGAGAGGGTCAGCCTGGAGCTCAGCTCCCTGCCCTACATTGACTCCCAGCACCAGGCCAGGAGCCCCAGGGGCAGCCCAGAACCCTCTGTGCCCAGGGTGGAGCCTGCTAGAGCTCAGAAAATACTGGTTCACCAGCTCCCTGGGACAGATGGAAAGGCTGTGCTTCCTCTCTGAGGGGCCTCCGTCTCCCCAGCTATAACATATAAGGGGCTTGCAATGGCCACTGCAACAGCCACTCCTGGTGAGTGCTCAGCAGGTGCCAGGCCCTGCACCAGGGGCATCACAGGCTAGTCCCTCTTAAAAGGAGGCTAACATGTCTCTCCAATGGGCCCCGGTTCTGCCCTCTGGGGACTCAGGGCATCGCTCTCCATCGCTGTCCCCGGATGTCAGGCTGGGCTCTGACCTGGACAACATTCTGATGGACTGGGGAGAAAAGAGGGCAGGCCAGCTGGGCATGTGCCTGGTGTGCACCTCCTGGGTGTGGCCCAGTCATCTTCCTCTTAGGCACCCGCAGAGCAGAGCCTGCCAGGGGCAGGCACAGGGAGAGGCTGGGGCAGTGCCAGGGCCCAGTGTGGGCCCGGCTCTGTGAGGGGTGGTCCTGGGTCACCGTTTGTCCAGCAGCTGCTCAATGGTGAGGTAGGCCCAGAGCCGCTCGATGTAGCTCCCGAAAATGTAGTCCTGCTCCTGCAGGGCCTTCTCCATCTCCTTCAAGTCCACCTCTTCCGTGAAGGTCAGGTCAGTGAGTGCCTGGGGCAGGGATGGGACAAGGTGAGAAGCACAAGGAATGGAGGTCTGAAGCCAGGTGGGCCCGGTTCAGGGGCTGCCACTGCTGGACTGTCAGGCTCCATCAGTGCTTGATCCCCCATCCCCAACCCATATCCAGGCCCAGCCCAGCTTACCCCGTGGCCCTTCACATCTGCCTTAAAGTTGTTCATGTCCTCGTCCACCAGGCGCCCAGCCACCACAATCTCAGAGCCATCATAGAAGTGCTGGTAAGTGTTCCGGGTCAGGTCCAGGATAGCGTTTTCAGGGTACTCCACCTCCACTGAGGTCAGCAACGGGTTGGCCACCTCCTCATAGAAGCCCTGGAGTCCACAGAGGGGACTTGGTCATCTCAGGCCACCAGGGCAGGCGGGCACGGAGAGGTGTGTGGGAGGGTTCTCACTGACGCCTCTGAAGTTGTTGAGTCCCACAGGCTGGGCTGAGCCCAACCTGACCTCCACTTCTACATGGGCCTGGCTGTGCCCTTCAGTGTGTGGGAACCCCCTCTGGTACTCCAACCCCACCCTGCCCCACCCTACCCCATGCACTCAGAAAAATACAAGCATTATTGCACAGAGAAAGAACTCAAGAAATGTTTATAAAAATGAAGGGAAGGAGGAGAGGACAGGAGGAAAGGCTGCCTAGAGAAGGTGTAGGGTGGAAGCAGGTGGGGATGGAGGCCCAGGGGTCCTCGGGGGAGGCGGAGATATAGGCACCTGGGCCAGGAAGGGTTGGTGTTGCCAGATTTAGCAAATGAAAGTACAGGCCATGCAGTTAGGTTGGAATGTCAGATAAGTTGATTTTTATTATAAGTATGTCTGTTATGGGCTGAGTTGTGTGCCCCCAAATACCCAAATATGTAGGTTAAATTCCTTACCCCCAGGCCCTCAAGATGTGGCCTTGTTTGGACACAAGGTCTTTAGAGATGACCAATTCAAAATGAGGTCTTGGGATGGACCCCAGTGCAATGTGCCTGGTGTCCTTATGAAAAGGGACAGACACACACAGGGGAGAGGATGTGAAGAGACAGGGAGAGAGGCCTGGCAGATCCCCCTCGGGGCCCTCACAAGGAACCAACCCTGTTGACACCTTGATCTTGGACGTCCAGCCTCCAGGACTGTGAGACAGTACATTTCTGCTGTAAGCCCCCCAGTTTGTAGCACTTTGCCCTGGCAGCCCCAGCAAACTAATGCCGTGTCCTATGCCATCTTTAGGGCAGACTTACACTAAAAATTACTTTTTTCCCCCCAGAAATGCATATTTAAGCGATGTCCTATATGTGCTGTGGCAAGCCTATGGAGGAACCCCTTCTGTGCAGCCCGATGACGAAGCTAGAACCATTAATGATGGGTAAGAACCAGAGGTAGATTTCAACTTAAGTGGAAGTTCTTTCTAATTATTGAAATGACCACCCGATGGCACAGCTCCCTGAGGAAGGAGTGAGCCCCTCATTCCTGGAGGGGTGCAAGACAAGGCATACCTGCAGCTGCAAGTTGGCATCGGAATCCTCATAAATGCGCCGGGCGAACCCATCGTTCTCCAGGGCCAAGCTTTCCAGGAAGTTATAATTCAGATTGTTGCCAAAGCCCAAGTTATATAAGGGGAACCTGCCTCCAATGGCACTCAGCACGTTCTCCTGTATTTTAGCGGGTCTGCTTTCACCTGCAGGATAAAGGGGTGCTCACACTCTAGCCACCACCCAGACAACTGTCTGGACCCGCTCTGTCTGAAGAGATCTGACTCCTGCACATGCAGCGCGGGAGGCGTCATGGTCAGGAGCCTTTGTCAGGCCAGAGGGTGGGGAGCCCTGGCAGGGGGAGGCAGGTCCCTGCCCTCAAGGGGCTCACAGTCCGTAGGAGCCCTGGGGAGAGCTGCCCAAGGTCTTGCAGCAAGCGGGCTACAGAGCCTGGAGCAGCAGCCAGGCAATGGGGTTCTGATTTAGAGCCACGGTCGTCTGCCTCACCAACATTGGCGTCCCCATCCGTCAGCATGATGACAATGGAGGTGCTCCTCTCTGGCACTGTGTGCTCCTCCCGGGCCTTGTTCAGCATGCTGATGCCTGTCAGCAGCCCGTCGTTGATGTTGGTCACTGGCACACAGAGAACACCATGGGAGGAGGCCCTCAGGGGACCATCGTGGAGGAGGGGTTGGGACATTGGCCCTGCTCATGTGCCCAAGGACTCTGTCTGCCAGTACGTGGTGATACTCAGTAAATACTGACTAGTGAGTGAAGAATGAATGATTTAACCTTTCAAATGGGGTTCAAACTGTCTCTCAGGGTTGCTGTAGGAATAGAAGCACATGGTGATGGTAAAAACAATTTGGGAAACAGTCAGATGGACTCCTGGCCCTTCACTGGGAGGACAGGGGAGCAGTACAGACATCACTTGTGATTTTCTGTAAGAAATGACCAACAGTAAAGGTTCTCTGTGGCCTGATCTTGCTGGGAGTTGGGGTGCACCCGCATCATGGATTAGAAGCAGGCAGATGGGTTTTCTTAGACCCTGAGATCAAGCCTGAGGACCCCACCCCACTCCCATCTCTCCCCCCAGCCAGGGTCTGCTGGCCTGGCCAGCAAAGCCTGTGCCCCAGGGAGGAGGGAAACAGGCTGCTCAGGCAGAGGGAGGGCAGTGAGAACGTTGCTCTCCCCTCTGTTCTTACTTCCTCGATCTCTAATGTTCTTCACAAACTCCCTGGCCTCCTGGATGTTCTCAGGAGTGGCTTGAACTAAAGTGTCTTTCCAAGTGGTCACATCGGAATCGAACAGGATGAAATTCAGGTAGTCCTCCTCTTTTATATCCTCCAGGATTTTGAGGAGGGCATCCCTTGTCTGGGAAAGAGAAAGACAGGCAGACAAGAAGCTGGGAGAGGGAGCCACAGACAGCCTGCTTTCTTCACAGCTGGGCTGGCAGTGGGGCCCCCTGTGGCCTGCAACAATGGGAGTGGCCATTGCTGCCTTTTTTATCCTATTCTCCTTCCCCCTCTTTCACTGGAAACATCAGCTTTGTCCACTTAAAACAAAACTGTCACCCATCCTGGGTGGCTCATTGGTGGAGTGTTTTCCTGTACACCAAGAGGTTGTAGGTTTGAGTTCTGGTCAGGCAAATACCTAGGTTGCAGGTTCAATAACAAGTTGGTGCACCTACAGGAGGCTACCGATTTGTTTCTCTCTCACATCGATGTTTCTTTCCCCATGCCTTCCCCTCGCTCTATAAATTTATAAACATACCGTTGGGTGAGGATTTTTAAAAAATACCCCCACTTGCACAGAAGACAGTACCTGCTCTATTTTCCGGCCATACATGGAGCCGCTGATATCAATCACGAAGACCACATTCTTAGGCACCACAGGAAGGCCTTGAGGTGCAAAGAAGTGCACAAAGTAGCCATTGACTATCTGGAGAGGGGAGAGAGAGACTAGAGGTCATGTCCATGAAGCAACCACAGGGTGGCTAATCTTGCAAATAAAAGCTGACAGTTAGCAGGGCGAGAAGACGATGTCAGTTCCCACCTTCCTGAGTGTGCCACACAGGTTCTGGTCTGCCCGCCACCCCCATGCCTTGCAGGAAAGGTGGCCTTGGACCGAGTATCCAGGGTGATGGCGCTAGATGCAGCTGCAGCCCCTCTCCTCCAACCCCCCAGCCCACACTCCACTGTGATGCGGAATCCACCAGCCTGATGAAGCCAGTAGGGAGGTACCTGCACGTTGGCTGGAGACTCTCTGTTCACATCGTAGGTTATGATGAAGTCTCCGTTGAGGAGGGTGTCTCCACAGGTTGGGCATGAACGCTGTTGGTCCAAGCTGGGCTTGAAGGACACATGGCCCTGAGGGAGGGACAAGGGGGGTCTTGCTCAGCTTGTAAAGGCACTGCCCACTGCAGCCCTCAGCCCATGGGTGTCTTGGGGGCCAAGGCACAGCCCTCCTAGGGAGAAGCCCAGAGGTGGGCACCCGGCTGTCCTGCCACCACCCAGCATACACTGGACTTCCTGAACACTGCTCTCTCCTCAGAGGTCAGGGGCAACTTGGAGGATAGTGGCTTTATCTGATGCAGCCTTTGTCTTTCCCTGTTCAACAAAGTCCCTGTGTTCAGCCTACTTGGCCTTCAGCACTGAGAAGCTACTTAGGGAGGGGAGCTGTGCACCGTGAAAAGGAGCTTCATGTTGGGTGGTATGTGTTGGTGCCAAGAGGAGGAGGAGGGGAAAGGAAGCAAAGCAGGGAGGTGGGAGCGGGCACTGCCCTGCAGAAGCTAGCAGCCCTCTGAGTGTGTGCTCCTTGGGCCTCGCCCTACAAGTCCTGAGTGACTTAGGTTTGCTCTTCGTGTAAACATGCATGCATCCACAGCTCACGGTCAGCAAGACCCTGGAATAGTAGGGCTTTGGGGATCAGAGTCAGCCACTTTCACCAAGAGTAAAGTTCCCTTTCAACTTCCACCCCCTCAATGTGAAGTCAGCAGATCTAATTGACTCCCTCTGGCCTCAGTCTCCTTATCTGTAAAACAGGGGCAGTCACCTGTCCTGCCTACCTCCCAAGGTAGAATGACACTGGGCTTTATAAGTGGTCCCCCCACACTCATACCAGTTCCAGCCCAAGCAACTGGCCAAGCACTTTGAGGTAATCAAGCAGCCCTACTGGCCCTGCTGAAACTGGCGGACAGGATGAGGGGTTGGGGAAGGGCTCTGGGGCATGTCACTTCCTCAGGCGGGTCATCCTCAGCAAGCAGCCCCCTGCCGCCAGCATCCCCACTCCTGACCAGGTGGCCAGGGATAAGGTGATGGCAGCAGATAGACACACCCTCACGAGCATCACCCAAGCCCTAGGGCTCAGACTGGTCCTGCTAGGGTCTGGGTTCCTCCCCCTGCCCCCCAGGCCTGAGAGGCATCTATAGCACCTTTTTCCCTGAGAAGGACTTGCTGAGGGCGCTTCCCAGGAGGTCATTGGTGATGAATGAGGCCTGAGCATCCAGCATGCTAATGCCCTGGGGCTCGAAGATATCTACCTCGATCTGCAATGTCCAAAGATAAGGAGATGTTACTCAGTGACAGTACAGAGGCCAACCTCTAGGACAGGGCCCAAAGGGATGGGTCAGTGGTGGTGCAGGGACCAGCTTCTAGGACAAGTCTGTGACAGCCACACCTGGTGTCTCCCACCAAGAAAATGAACAAAATGGCTCTTCAATGGTACTCTAACCCCAAAGCTCTCCAATGGCTGCCAGGTGGTATCCAATTTCCACCATGAAATCATTTCAGATCTGATATAGTTAGAGTCCCATTATAACCAGTTACCAGCACAGAGACACTTTGTGATGTTGCCCCAAGGGTCCAGCATCCAAAGATCTGGGTGAGTCCAGCCCACCCTCCTCCTCCCCTTGGCCCAGTTGCTATGGCCAGAGCCATTGGAGTTCCCCCGAGCTTCCTCAACCAAGTGGTGAGGCCTGGACTTCTGTGTCCTTGACCTTGCTCCGAGCTCCACTCCATGGGCCCTTCCCCAACCGCCCCTCGTGTGCCCACAGTTTCAGCAGGGCCTGCAGGGGTGTTTGATTACCTCAAAGTCCTTGACCAGTTGTTTGGGCTGGACCTTAAGATACATCTCGTACTTGCCCTTGTTCCTCTTCAGCAGCTCTTCGTAGGTCAGCTCAAACGTGACCTTGCTGCCCGCAGCCACATTGACTGACACCGTGAATTTCTCCAACTTCCGCCCAGAGGCCCTGAATGGGATGCCAGACAGCGACTGCCCCACAGACTGCACAGCCCCACCCACCCTGAGCCTTGGGTTCATGTCAGCCCCTTGGGGGAGACACCTACTCACTCTAAGCCTCATTTACCTCAACATCAAAATGGGATAATGTGGTGAGAATTACAGACACATTTTGCAATAATAATAATAATAATAATGATGATAATAACTGCTGCCATTGTTGCTTGCATCCCTTACAGACCAGACATTCTCCCCCAGGCCTGGGGTCCGTACTTACTTGACCAATCCAGCTGTCTTGCCCTGGGACACAGCCTTTTCATACTGCTTCTTGGCAACTTCCTTCTCCTTGACATTACCAGGGTAGGTAACACCGTCGATGGTCCTGCAGGGAAAGAGTTGGGGCTCATGCTGGGCCAGACTCCCCTCCAGAGCCCAGAGCAAGCAGCCATGGGGACACCCACAGCGTGAAGTTGGTGATGAAAGCGGTCTTGGGCAGCTCCACGTCAAAGGAAACCTCCTTGGCGGCATCTGCGCGGTTGACGGCCCTCGTGGTGACAACATTGTGAGCAAAGCGGGAGGTCACCTTGCAGCTGACCTTGGTACTGTAGACCTCAATGTCATCAGCCTTCTGTGGGAGACGGGATGGTGATCAGTGGTTGAGGAACCCGGGCCCTGGGAAAGAGGTCTTCTAACCTGGCCACTCTTCTTCCCAAGGCCCTGCCTGGGAAGCACCCCAGTCACCTGTGTGGGAAGCCTGGTGGCCTCCTCCATCCCCCTGCTCAGTTGGCCACCTCTGTCCTGATGATGGGCGCCTGGGCAGTCCTGGTGCCCCTGGCATGCATTGGCCTTCCTGAGCACCTCTCTCCCCTCGGAGACCAGGGGCTTCTTGGCGGGCAGAGGCCTTGTCTGATTCAGCCTGTGTTTCTCCCTGTTCACTGGGCCCCACAGGTTCCTTAGCTCAGCCTCCCTCATTGCTCAGCAGCAAGAAGTCACTTAGGAAGGGGAGTTTTGCACCATGAGAAGGAACTTCACGTAATGCCAAGAGGAGAGGGTGAGGGGAGGGAGCAAGCCAGGGATCAGAGGGGGTGAACTGAGGGAGGCTCTAGGGAGATGTCTGGGTTAAACATGGCCTTCTTAACCCTGTAGTCTGTTATCATGCAGCCTGTAGCCAGTGAGACCTTATAAAAAAACAAAGGTGACCCTGTTCTCCTCCCTCATAAAGCCCTCCCGTGCTCCCCATTGCCCTCAGGACAGTGTTCCCCATGCTCTGAGGTCCTCCAGGTGGGTCCTGTCACCTCCACTCTGGTGCTCCTGCCAAGCTAGGTCTCTGCCCCTCTGACCCCGGGGGTCAGAGACCTGTCCCAGCTCTTCCTGCTCACCTTTCACACTTCCATTTAGAAAGCTCGCCCTCTACCCTCCTACTGTGCCCTTTGGTAATTGTGTGATTCTACCTCCCAAACAGGGACTTATTTCCTGTGCTGAAAATAGAGTGTGGGCAGGACTTCATGTCCCCAATATTCTCTTTCCCCCGGGAGCCGGGCGAAGGTTGAACTGAGGGTGATTCTAGGGAGACATCTGGGTTGAACATGGATATAAAGATGCTCCGTGGGCTTCCTCTTCGCCGCATCTACTGCGAGGATGAAGACCATTCTCAGCAGTCAGACTGTGAACGTCCCAGAAAATGTGGACACCACTCTGAAGGGGCGCACAGTTATTGTGAAGGGCCCCAGGGGCACCCTGCGGAGGCACTTCAGCCGCATCAGTGTAGAGTTCAGTCTCCTCAGAAAGAAAAAGAAGAGGCTCCGTGTTGACAAGTGGTGGGGAAATAGAAAGGAACTGGCCACAGTTCGCACTATCTGCCGTCATGTACAGATCATGATTAAGGGTGTTACACCGGGCTTCCGTTACAAGATGAGGTCTGTGTACGCTAACTTCCCCATCAACGTCGTTATTCAGGAGAATGGTTCTCTTGTTGAAATTAGAAATTTCTTGGGCGAAAAATACATCCGCAGAGTTCGGATGAGGTCAGACTTTTGCTTTTTCAGTATCTCAAGCCCAGAAAGATGAGTTGATTGTTGAAGGAAATGACATTGAACTTGTATCAAATTCCGCTGCTTTGATTCAGCAAGGCAAAACAGTTAAAAAGGATATCAGGAAATTTTTGGATGGTATCTATGTTTCTGAAAAAGGAACAGTTCAGCAGGCTCATGAATAAGATCTAAGTTGTCCAGCTATAGAAACACCGAGATGCCAAATGATTTGCCACACTTGTTTGTGAAACTATAACGATGTACAATAAAAACCTTGTATTGGAAAAAAAAAAAAATGCTCTGTGTAGGTGTGACGGGGCCTTTCACCACCCAGCCCAGTATCAGCCACTGCTGGGTAAGTGTTAGTGGAAGGAAGACGGTGCAATGGCCATCCTGGGCTGCATCTGGGGAGGTCCTAGGGGGCATGGTTCTATGACACCCTTTCCTGGGGGTCTTGAGTCACATGGGGGTCTGCCAGGGTAGGGGCTGTGAGCTGTTTGTCAGCTGTGCAGGACCTGCTGCTATGGCCCAACTCTTCAGCTGTTGGGAAACCAGCTCCATCCTGGCCCCCTCACCATGCCTCTACCTGGTGAAAGTCCTCACCTCATCCAGGACGTTCCGTTTCTGGAAAAGCAAAGGCAAACACACTGTCAGGTCAAGGCCAAGGCCACTGTGGCTGGAGGGCAAGTTCTTGGCAGAGGCCAGGGTTCAGTGGTGACCCCCACCCGCCCACACACCTTGAAGGGCCTCTGGATGTAGGACCCACATGGAGCCACTTGTCAGAGTAGGAAGGGCTCTGAAGAGATGGGGAAAGTGAGATCCAGAGAGAGCAGGTCTCGGGCTACCCAGAGGAGCAGGACAGGGCTTTTCCCCTGCTCCACAGACCTCGGCTCACTCTGCCTGTCCCTGCACCCGGGTCCATGAGGCCTCCTCGCACAGCACCCCGCACCACTGCACACCGCAGGGCTCAGCCCAGCCCTTCCTAGGCGCCTCTGCCCTTTTCTCAGAGGTGGACCTTCACAGCTGCTCAGTGAGGTGAGCAGCTCGTGGTGTATCACCCATTTGACAGGTGGGGAAACAGAGGCCCAGGGAGAGCTAAGAGCCTAGCCCAGAATCAAAGGATAAGTTTGGAGCCCAGTTCTCCCAAAGCCCAGCCCTGTCCCCTGCAGCTCATGACCCCGCCCTCTACCTCCCCCTCCCGCATGTAGAGGACCACCCAGGCTGGGACGTCTGCCCCGTGATGGGCCCAGATTGTGAAGAGAATACAGACTTACCTCAAGTGGCCAGGAGGGGCTTCTTGGGAAGCCAAAGGCCATGGAGCTGGAGAGCAGGGCCACGATGAGGCAGGGCCACCAAGCAGACGCCATCGCTGAACACGCAGGCCTGGCCCGCAGTCTTTATATGAGCCAGCTGACCGGTGGGGTCAATGACCTCCAGCATTGCGGGAGGAGCGGGAGGTGGAGGCTGTCTGAGAAGCCGGCGTGTGGATGGAGTAACAGGGCTTGGATTTGCCTGAACCAAAGGGGCCCCGTGGGTACTGTCAACAGCATTGGAACTTCACCCCCAGAGGCTGGGGGACATGGAGGCCTGGGTTAAGCAGAAGCTGTGTGTTTGCAAATGAGTCCTGGGACTTCTTGGGTGGGGACAAAGGTGTGGAGTCACATTTAGAGCAAATAGCATCTGCCAGCCTCGTTGCCTATTACCCACACCATTGGCATGGCCCCTGGATCGCAGCCATCCCCTGTTCACGGCAGCCAGGACAAGGAACCAGACCCGTCATCTAAGGCTCCGATTTCCATGGCTACAGCCCTTGCTCAGTATCCTTCTCTGGTTCTCATGGCCCCAGGGAGAGGATGAACCCCAAGTCCTATGGCCCAGCTCTCTCTGTTACCTGGTTCCAGCTTGCTTTTCTGAACTTTCTCTCTACCACTGGCATGCCCTCCCCTTGTCTGCACGTCGCATCTCTCATCTCTCATCTCTGCCAGCCCCTGTGCCCTCTTCCGGAGCCTTCCTCTTTCATCCCCAGGTGACTGCAGGCAGCTTTGCTGCATCGTTACCCTGTGTGGAGGTTTGTTGAGGCCAGATGAGGGCCTCTAGACTCTGGGCTCCAGGAGGGCCAGGCCATGTCACATTCATCCCTGAGTTCCCAGGGCCTGGCCAGTGACTCAGCTGCCCTCAACCTCTTAAGGAGTCCTTTCCCACCCTGGCAGGGGGCCTTAGTTGGTTGGAGCATGATCCATACACCAAAAGTTTGTAGATTCGGTTTCCAGTAGGGCACATACCTGGGTTGCAAGTTTGATTCCCAGTCAGGGCACATACCTGGGTTTCGGATTTGATTCCCAGTTGGGGTACATGCAGGAGACAACAAATCAATGTTCCCCTCTCTCTTTCTCTCCCTTCCTCTCTCTGAAAATCACTAAAATCATGTCCCCAGGTGAGGATTAAAAAGAGAGAGGAGGAACCAAGATGGCTGCATAAGGTATAGACCTGTGCGTGCTGCCTCCCACAATAACATTAAAACTACCAACTATAAGACAAAGCAGCTGTCATCCAGAACCACGGGAAAGATGGCCCAGTGGAAGTTCTACAACTGGAAGGAAAGAAAGAGGCGCATTGAGACTGAGTAGGAGGTGCAGAGGCACCAAGATAGAGGTACGGAGCCGCGCGCCAGGTGGGCTGCAACTGGATGCGCGTTTTCTGTTTTGTTTTTTGTTTTTTAATATATTTTATTGATTTTTTACAGAGAGGAAGGGAGAGGGATAGAGAGTTAGAAACATCGATGAGAGAGAAACATCGATCAGCTGCCTCCTGCACACCCCCCACTGGGGATGTGCCCGCAACCAAGGTACATGCCCTTGACTGGAATCAAACCTGGGACCCCTCAGTCCGCAGGCCAACACTCTATCCACTGAGCCAAACTGGTCAGGGCATGATGCGTTTTTTTTTTCAATCGGAAGGGGATACAAGCTCTCGAATCCACTGAGTCTATTTGGGGCGGGATTCTGAGGTCCCAGACTTCTACGGGGAGAGGCTGGACTGTCTTGCAGCGGGTCGGAGAGTGAAGGTGGCTTTCTCGCAGAGCTGCTCGCGGGACGTGGAGACGCAGAGTTGCAGAGAGGCGAGGAGTCGCGGAGATGCTGACGACAACCATTGCTGTTTGCTCCGCCCTGGTGATTCTCTGAGACCCTGCCCTACTCAATTTACATCCCCACCCAAGCTGTGCCAGTGGCACAAAAGGAACCACCTGTGCTTTTGCAGCCTAACCCAACAACCTGCTGATTTCAACTCCTCACATCCATAAGGGACACACTCAAGAAGCAGACTCAGGTTCGGAGGAAGCTGTAGCCGGTCCCGGCTGGGCCAGCGACATGGAACCACTGTACCAGCAAATGCACAAGCAGGTCCACCAGATCCAGTCTCACATGGGACGCCGGGAGACGGCAGACAAGCAGTCTGTGCACTAGTAGAAAACGAAATCCAAGCAAGCATACCAGATATTCAGCCAGCTAGAATGCCTGGAGATTTTGTCCAGTAGGGAACCTCCCAACAAAAGACAGAATGCCAAACTTCGTGTTGACCAGTTAAAGTATGATGTCCAGCACCTGCAGACTGCTCTCAGAAACTTCCAACATCGGAGATACGCAAGGGAGCAGCAGGAGAGACAGCGAGAGGAGCTTCTGTCTCGCACCTTCACCCCCAACGTGGGATGTGGCGCCTCCTGTGAGGCTGTGTGAGGCTGCGACAGCCCCTGTGAGG